CCAAGGCGCCCAGGAAATGCTACTCCTTTCTCGCCCGAATGAAGCCAACTGGCCCGTGCCCTTGTATCGACTCCAGTTGGCGGTAGTACTTGCTTGCCGTCGCACTTTTGCTCTCCCGCCTTCCTCACCACCATCACCCACCGCTTCGCAGACGCCTTCACCTGCTCCTTGCGCTGCAATTCGACTGGCATTGAGCTGCAATTGCTGGCTCCACGGCTCTGTACCTCTTGTGACCTCTCTTACGCCTGCTAACCGCATCCACCACCATGCCTCGCTCTGCTGCGACTCCAAAGGTGCCCTGCTTCTGCGTCACCATTGGCTGCAATGGCCGGCTACAGGGAAATTTGCACGCAGCAGCAGCATCTCTCCTGCGACCGTCTACATCGCGCCGACAAGATCCTCCGCTCTGACGCAGCAGCTTGAGCCCAGGCCGCTCCGCCGCCTCTCTTGTCGCTCGCCCTCCTGCTAACCCCAGCCTTGCCCCTTCTTCTCCATCGGCTTGCCCGCACGCCTTGCCCCCGCTCCTTTGGCCCCTTTCCGATGGCCTCCACCTGACCAACGCTCCCAGCTACGCTCAGGCCAATGCCGCCAGCAAGTGCGCGCGCGCCCCAACAGAAACAAGGTTTCGGCAGTGGCTCGGTGAGTCGTCGAAACCCGCCGAGGCCCTCCAGCGTCTCGATGGTGGCCTGCCAGCGGTGGCGGGCGAGGGTATATAAAGCCATGCCGCCCGCTGCTCCCTCCTCTTCCCCCTACCTCGCCACTGAGCCTGACCAAGACTGGCGGCCTTCCACCATCGGCGTCTGGGCTCCCGCTGACTTGCCCTCCTCATCCGCTTGCCTCCCTTGCTCTCTTCCTCCCTGTCGGGCCTGCACATCCACTTCATCAAGCTGACGCCGTGCTGCGACGACACCGTTGCGGGTCCGTGGTGAGTCGCAATGCTGTCGCAGCACTACCGCCCTCATCGACACGCTCACTGACAACCACGTCCATTGCTGGTCGCTCCTCCGACTTTGCTGCTTGCGCCTACAGATGATGAAGCCCTGCCCCGTTACCCAGCCTACGATCCGCCGCGGCCCACGACAACACACTGCCGTGCTCTTGTGCAAGCGGCCGCGACACGCTGGCCTTTTGCCGCCTCTTCTCAAGGCGCCAAGGTGAGCCGCACAGGTGTTCTGTTACTTGACTCGATGCTACGGCTGCTGATCGGGCTGCTTTGCTTCTGTTGACTCCATCAGGTCCGCGCCTGTCCAGCCTGGATGTTCTGCTCCATCAACCTCGGCCGCCATACCTGCAACGTGCTTTGATGTCAAAGCTTGCAATACAACATCGTTTCTGCGCAACATGGTCTTGCCTGTGGCTCCAAGGATCGAAAGCAAGCTGGCGGCGATGCGGCGCCAGCGACAAGGTCGGGATGACATGTGGCGGTCGAGTCTGTATTGGTGGCGCCGAGGCCGACGGTGGATTGGCGGAACGCAGCCAAGGACAGGATAGCGGAAGGGCGGGCAAGAGCAGGTTGGCGCAAGGCCGCCAAGATCGAGTTAGGGACACGATGACCAAGAGCAAGTTGGCACGGGCGCGGTCAAGGACAAGCTGGCGGTATCGACCAAGACGGCCTTGGCATGCCCCGCCAAGGTCCCGCCACGGGATGCATTGCGGGACAGCCGCTAAGAGGCATGCCAAGGCCGTCTTGGTTGATACCGCCAATAGCTGTATTCTCTATGCTATGATACCATGTCACCCTGATCGTTTCCAGCACAGCCTAGCCTGACTTCGAAACAAGCGGATACGGTAGGTTGGTCCACAACCGTGTTGCAAAGCCATGCTTTCTGTCCTCAACTGCAGTAGGAACGAGCGGAACCTGGTCGGTTGCCACTTTTCGCAGTGGCTCTCCAGTTCTCCCCCCCCTTTTAGAAGGCCTTCCATGTGCCCACTCCTGCAACGATGCTGAACAGAGTCGGTCGCTGCGGTAAAGGGGCTTTGCCAGAGCAAAGAAACTAAGGCGGATTGACGCGGGTGCCCGCAGCATCTTTGAGACCGGGAGTCGACAGTGGAGAGTCATGGCAGACGGTGCTTTTCCTCGTGTTCACTGCACGTCAACAGTAGTGAGTGCTTGGCGTCCGGTGTTCTTGACGGGATATTGTCGTAGTAAGATTCTTCACTGTCAAGCACACCAAGACAGGGAGCGCAACAGATACCTAATTGAACCTCAGGGAGGGGAGGCTACGGCTATACATCCAAGGTCACGTCGCCAGGGAGGCGGCGGAAGGTAAGACAGCGAGAGAGGGTAACAAGCAGGCAGGCAGGGAGGCGGGTGGATGAGCGGACGGATGGAAGGACGGACGGACGCCTCAACCGCTCCACTCGATCGTCTTGAGGTCGATGCCCTCCTGCACCATCTCCCAGAGCGGGCTCATGTCGCGCAGCTTGTTGACGACCTTGACAATCTTTTCGGAGACGTAGTCGACCTCCTCCTCGGTCGTGAAGCGGCCGATGCCGAAGCGCAGCGATGAGTGGGCGTTTTCGTCGTCGAGGCCGAGGGCGCGCAGCACGTACGACGGCTCGAGCGACGCCGACGTGCACGCCGACCCGGACGACAGGCACACGTCCTTGAGCGCCATCAGGAGCGACTCGCCCTCAACGTACTGGAACGTGAGGTTGACGCAGCCCGGGTAGCCGTTCCGGTCGCCGTTGAAGAGGACGTGGGTGAGCTGCGAGTTGACATTGTCTTGCAGCCGCTGCGCCAGACGCGAGATGTGGGCGTGGTCGTAGGCCAGCTCCTGCTTGGCCAGCCGCGCCGCCTCGCCGAAGCCGGCAATCAGCGGCGGCGCCAGCGTGCCCGATCGCAGGCCGCGCTCCTGGCCGCCGCCGTTGATGATGGGCTCGAGGCGCACGCGCGGGCGGCGGCGGATGTAGCAAGCGCCGATGCCCATGGGGCCGTAGAGCTTGTGCGACGAGAGTGACATGAGGTCGATGCCGAGCTCATTGACGTCGAGGGGGATCTTACCGGCCGCCTGGGCGGCGTCGGTGTGGAAGAAGGGCTTGGTGGCGCCGCGTCCGCCCTGCTTGGACAGCTCGGCGCCCTTGGTCTTGAGGAGGTGGCCGATCTCCTTGATGGGCTGGATGACGCCGATCTCGTTGTTGACCGTCATGATCGAGACGAGGGCGGTAGTGGGTCGGAGGGCGTCTTCGAGCTGCTGGAGGTCGATGAGGCCGTTGGGCTGGACGGGGAGGTAGGTGACCTCGAACCCTTCCTCCTGAAGGCGGCGGCACGAGTCGAGGACGCACTTGTGCTCGGTCTGGGTGGTGATGATGTGGTTCTTCTTGGACTTGTAGAAGTGGGCGACGCCCTTGATGGCCATGTTGTTGGACTCGGTGGCGCCCGAGGTGAAGATGATCTCCTTGGGGTCGGCGCCGACGAGCGAGGCGACGTGGGCGCGGCCGTCCTCGACGGCCTGCTCCGACTCCCAGCCGTAGGCGTGGGTGCGCGAGTGCGGGTTGCCATACTGGTTTGTCATGAAGGGCATCATCTTGTCGACGACGCGCGGGTCGACGGGGGTGGTGGACTGGGCGTCGAGGTAGATGGGTCGATTCGAGGTGGCGTGCTTGGGTGCGGATGCGAGGATGTCGTTGAGGAGGTTCTTGCCGGACCCCTGCTTTGACCCGACGCCGGCGCGCACATCGGGCTGTGCAACCTCGACGGGGGTAGCCATCGAGTTGGGGTTGGTGGGGGATGCGTAGCCGCGGCGCTGCTGCTGTGGCGGTGTCGTTGTCGTCGTCGACGTCGTGGACGAGGACGAGGGCGAGAGCGAGGAAGACGACGACGAGGCGACGGTGGCGGATCGGACTGCCGAGGATGAGCTGGTCAATGTCCGGCGTGCGGTGGCGGAGGCGACAGCCTTTGAGGCGATGCCTGCGCCCGTTCGCAGCGACGAGGTGGCCGAAGCGAGCATGGTGCTGATGGTGGCGGCGAGGGCGGTAGGTGGTAGAAGTGGCAGAGTGATATCGAGTCGTGCGTGGTGCCAGTGGTCGTGTCGGTGGTGGTTGGTGTTGTTGTTGTTGTTGTGTGGCCGCGATGAGAGAAGGTGCGGTGGTGTTGGTGGTGGTGGCAAGAGGTAAAGGTGGCGAGCGGCTGCAAATGTCAAGCATGAGTGTGGAGCGCCGGCGGCTTTGTCCTTTGTGCTTTGGGCGAGGGGGCCCTTGGGTCCAAGCCAGCTTGAGAAGCCCTAGCCTCCTGTGGCCGGCCACGCTGAGCTTTCTCTGTGGATTTTCTTGCTGCCCAAGCTTCGACCAGCCGCCGCCGTTGCCGCTGCCCGAGTGGCCCCGCCCGGGTGGCGAACCAGCGCGGGGGGCGCGGGCCAAAAGCCGCCCTCAGCTTACAAAGCAACCCGCCCGGCCAGGACTCGCGCCAATCCCCAGCTTCCACCGACGCCTGCTGGTCATCGTCGTCGTTGTCGTCGACGGAGGGAACGATTGCAAGACCTCACCACCGAAGGTCACGTTCATCGCGGTCCTCTTCAGCCGGGTGTTGGACTCGATGCCAGGCCACGGTGGCTCCAGATGGCCTCCTTGCTCGCCACCGGGCGGCGAGAGCAGAAGCCGAGTGATCGTGACTCGCAGCCGGGGCCGGCCTAGCTAGCCCGGAATTTCTCTCGTGCGGGTCAAGCTGGCGTGGTCCGGTCGGCGGCTTCACAGCCAGGCCAACGCTCTCCCCACCCCTCATCTCCAACCTTCGCATCGAGCGCAACCATCTGCTGGTCACCAACACTTCACCCAGCCCCCAGCCCTTCCCGCCACCCTCGCCGACCGACATGCCCGCCCGACTCGTCGTCGCCAGCAGCATGGCGCTGCCCCGCACCCTCACCCTGCGCACCTTCTCCACCGCACGCACCGCGGCCGCGGGAGGTGGCTTCTTCACCCGTCCCTCGAACGCCCCCACGTCGTCCAACGCGCCCTCGGTGCCCGCCGCCAAGCCGGTCCGTCCCGTCGCCCAACCACACACGCCTCCGCACGCCGTCGGCATCGAGCAGTCGCCCAACTTCCCCACCACCTGGAGCGAGTCCCAAAATCCAAAGGAGCTCGCCATGCGCGGTCCGCGCTTTGAGCAGATCGACCTCGAGTTCCAGCCCCAGCCTGTCGCCGCCATCGAACTCATCCAGAGGGAACCCATCCGTCTCGTCTCGAAGCGCATCGCCAGCTGCGACGGCGGTGAGTCGACGACTGTTGCTGGAGCTTCCAAAACGGCTGCTCCAGCTACGTCGTGTCGATGCCAGTGCTGACTCCGCGTCCGATCGACCCCTCTCGATGCTCCTTTACACAGGCGACGGCCCCCTCGGCCACCCCAAGGTCTTTATCAACCTCGATAAGCCCGGCCCCAAGCCCTGCCCGTACTGGTGCGTCTTCCATCTCTCGCTGCCTTGTCGGCGTGCCGGTCGCCCTTGCGCCTTCGTCCACGCTTGCTGACGACATGCAATTCGTACCCTCGCCCCTCTTTCCGTCCATCTCGACCACAGCGGAATCCGCTTCGAGCTCGACCACTCGCACTCGCACCACTAGGTCCGGTTCGCTGCGTCTAACGGTCCCGCCGAGGCTGCGGGCCAAGGCGCGCAGCAGAAGCCTAGACGCACCACGACGCAATCCACTCGTCTGATGATCCCTCTCGCGCACCTCGAACGCCTCGCTCTCGCATCGCACTGTGACGCGATGCATCGACACAGCCCATGAGCCAGAGAAAAGCAGCAGCATTTACAGAGCGGAGCGATCCCATCTATCGACCGATACAGCGGCATCTCGTCCTGGCCCGCCCGGCCCACGGCCTACCACTGCCAGCCGGGTCTCTGCCAGGCATTGACAATCTTGCGGTTGGTGCGGACGACGCTGCCGTCGCCGATGCTGCGGATGGCCTTGCGCGCCTTGTCGAGCCTCTCGAGCTCCTTTTCCACGGCCGTCTTGCCGTAGCGCAGCACGATGCTCATCTTGGCCTCGGGGTGGTGCTTGCGACCCATGCGCGCGCGGCCCTTGAAGTCGGCGCGCACCAGGTAGCGCCCCTTTGAGATCCAGGCCTCGGAGACGACGAGGCGCCGGATGTCCATGCCCTTGGCCGCCGCGTGGTCGCGCGCCAGGGCCAGCGTCGAGAGGATGCGCTTGGCGGCGCGCTTGGGGCTGAACTGCATCTGGAGAATGGCGTGGTCGATGGGTTTCCCTCCAATCTGGTCGGCCAGCAGCTTGAGCTTGCGCGGCGAAATCTTGAACTGGGCCGTCGAGTACTTGTGCTCGAGCACGTTGCCCTCGGCGTCGGTGGCGTTCCAGCGCTTGCGCTGCTGCCGCGCCTCGATCTTGGACGAGAGGCGCTGCTTGGCGCGCTGCTCGCTCTGCATGGCGGGCAGGGCGTCGGCGTCGTCGAAGAGGGCCGCGCCGTCGGGCGACACGGCGGCGAGGGCGGCATCGCGGCGACGGGCCAGGTCCTGCCGTCGCTGCTCCTCGGGCAGGATGCCGCCGCGCTCCTTTGCCTGGACGTAGTTGCTACCGAGCGCCACCTTGGCTACTCGGTCGCGAATCGACGAGAGGAACGACTCGCGCGCTGGGCTCGTCGAGAAGCTGTGCGGTTCGGGGTGTGCATGCAAAAGAGGACGGTGCGTGTGGGCAACGATGTCAGCGAGGGTTCCGGTGAAAGAACGATGCCGCAATGACCGACATGGCAAGCTCACCTTCGCCTGGCAATGACGCGGCCATGACCGCCAGTCCTTGCCGAGATCCCTGCCCGAGCCTGTCCACTCAGCCTCGCCGCAATGCCAAACGGCACTCCATCGCTAGACGGCCCTGCCGAAGCTGAAGATGAAGACGAGGCGGCCAAGGTCGAGGCCAGAGAGGAAGAAGAGGAGGAAGAGGAGGAAGAGGAAGACGACGACGAAGAGGCGGCGGCTAGGATGCAAGAAGTCGAGAGAGATCGGCGGGTCGAAGAGGTGAGCGAGAGGCGCTCGAAGGCCGAGAGGGCCGAGGCGGTGGAGCGGTTGAGCGAGGCCATCCCAGGGGCGTGAATCGACGGCCGAGCTAGCTGTCGGAGGCAAGGAGAGGTGGAGAAAAGGCCGTCTGTCGCGATGGCAGTGGTGAGGGTGGTGGCCGCCGGCGTCGTCGTTGTCGTGGTTCGGGTCAGGACGGACGGCGGCGGGGGTGGCACGCGAGAGGCGGCCCCGTCTTTTCGCCTCTAACCGCTCTAGCAGCCTCCCCCGATTTTCTTCTGGTCAGCCAAGCTCGGATCCGACAGGTGAACCTTGCTTGCTGGCCGGCAGCCAAAGCGGGTGCGGCCTGAGCAAGTGGAGCGGGTGCCAAGCCAGGCAGCCAAACCCGGCTGTGCCCAAGCAGGGCCACGCCACGAGGACCGCTCGGGCCCCCACCTCACCTTGGCTGGCCTTGCCCCGTCCGGCCTCGCTGCCACCGCCACCGCGGCCCGACCACCACCACCATCATCGCTGCTCCCCTCGCGCATCACCCGATCATCGCACTATCAATCGCACGATCACCGCCGTGTCAACATGGGATCCTGTCTCTCCCGATCCAAGTTCAAAGGTGAAGGCCAGACCCTCGCCTCGTCCCCCTCCTCCTCGTCCAATCGACCGGCTCCTGCCACGCACGCAGCACCGGCAGCCACCACCGGTCCCGCATCCAGCGGCGGCGGTCACACCCTCTCTGGGTCCTCGACATCACAACGTCCAGAGGGGGATGCAGAGGCGCGGGAGGCGAGAGCCAGAGCGGCAGAGGCAAGAGCAAAGGCGGCCGCGAGCACCGGCGTCCGTCCTGGTAGCTCCACGGGCAAGCTGAGCAAGAAGCTCGAGGATCAGAAACGCAACCCTCTCAAACCCGACGAACCCGAGGTCGAAAGAGTCGTCGTGAGTCTCCATGGACCCCTCCTCTCCGCCCTAGTGGCCATCTCGGCGGTACAACGAGCCCCTCGTGCGGCCATGCTGACTGGGCGGCCACCTCCTTCTCCCCACGGATTCGTCCTCATCCTCCTCTAGTGGGACTGAGGTCGCTCTTCCACAGCATTGCCTCGGACCCTCGCACATACCTCGATTCGCCTCACGATACCTTTCGACGCGACCACGTCGATCCAGCCTCTACGACAATGGGAACGATTACACCATGCAGATTACCGGAGCGTGACCATGCGAACGACAATCTAATGCAGCAGGGAGGAAGGACCGAAAAGCAGCCGGGCAGTCTACACGACGATGGGATGCTATGCGATGCGATTCGAGGCGAGAGGCGAAAGGGCGAGGTGCCGTGCAAATTGGCAGCGAGGCAGCTGAGCGGATCGAGGAGGGTTGGCGTTCAATGGGCCATGACGGCATCGTCGCCGCCCTCCTGGCTCTTGGCCAGCGCCACCCACGCTCCGTTGGCGAGGATCAGCACGCTGCCCACCACCGAGAGCCACTCGAGCGGCGTGCCAAAGAGCGCCAGCTGCCAGAACAGCGCAAAGATGATCTACGGCGAGGCGTCCGACGAGGTTGGAGGGGGCAGGCCAAGGACGAGAGACGACAGGTCAGCACATTGTCGGCAACCGCCGGCCGGACACATCGCCGTGTCGAGCGGCAAGACTCACCTGAAGATACGACATGGTGGCGGCGCGCGCCGCCGTCTCCCTCTGCAGGCCGAGCGTCTGGAAGACCTGGGCGAGCAGGCTAAACAGGCCGACGCTCGTCAGCAGCAGCATCGACTGGATCGAGTCGGGCATCACCATGGGCTGGCCCAGCGCGGCCATGGCGAGGAAGCTGCAGACCCACGAGCAGAGGGCAAAGTAGGCGATGCTGTGGTAGGTCGAGGCGCGCTTGCCAATGTGGCGCAGGCACACCCACGCCCCGGCCATGAGGAAGACGCCGAGGAGCGCCACAGAGATGCCGACGAGCCGCGCGCCCTCGCCCTCTTCGGCGCCGCCGCCCATGCCCGGCTCGCCCTCGGGCATGTCGCCGTCGTAGGGCGGCGCCGTCTCCTGGCCCGAGGGCGTGCCGAACAGGAACGACGGGCGGGCGATGAGGACGACGCCGCAGAGGCTCATGAAGCCCGCCAGCTTCTCGCGCGCCGTGAACGGCTCGGCGAGGACGAGGTTGGCCAGGAGGCCGGTGGCGAGGGGCGAGAGGAAGGTGATGACGGTGGCGTCCGAGAGCGAGAGGGTCTGGAGCGAGATGTAGAGGGCCAGCGTCGACCCGAAGCCAAACATGCCGCGCGCCAGCAGCAGCAGGCGGGTGCCCGGCGGGCCGAGGAGGATGTGCTCGCTGCGGCCGAGGGACATGGTGATGACGCAGCCGATCCAGATGATGAGGCACTCGACGCCGACAATCTCGAGGGCGCCGAGCGCCGGCTGGGAGCTGTGGTGCTCGCGGCGCGCCCCTTGGCCCTCGCGATCCTCGAGCAGCTTGACAAAGAGGTTCATGGTCGAGTAGCACACTTGGCTGATGGCGATGAGGACTAGGCCGAGGTTGGTGCCCGGCTTGGTCGAGTGGCTGACGAGGGCCTCGCGCATCGTGATGGCGCTGGCGTCGGCGTCCATGCGGTCGTAGCCCGGCTGGGCGAAGCTGATCGAGCTGGCGCCGCCGTATTGGCGCATCGAGGCGGGCGGAGGCGCGCCGTGGCCGATGGCGCCGTAGTTGGAGCGCATGCTGGGCTTGGCGCTGGCAATCGAGAGGAGCGACGTCGACGGCCGCCGGCTGCGGTATGCCTGACCGACCTCGTCGCCGTCCCCAACACCGCCGCCGACGCCGCCAAATTGCGAGTCTTGGTCGGCGTCGGCAGCGGTAAAGACGGAGCCGCGCTCCGACACCTCGTTCTCATAGGCCTGGACCTCTTGGGCGTGCTGCTGCGCGACGAGATACTCGTTGGGGTGGAAGATGGACGCGACGTCGCTAAAGATGCTGCGCGTCTCGTCAACCATGCTCTGCGACTCGACATCGCTTCCGGCAAACGACGATGATCCGGCGGCGGCGACGTCGCGCTGCGAGGGGAAGAGGCGGGGCACTCGCGTGTAGCTAAAGGCTCCGAGCTCGCCCACTTCGTCCCTGGCCTCATCCTCGGCGGGCTTGGTGGGGAAGCGCTGGTGCATGACGGGTCGCTGCCATGCCGCGAGGTCATCGTGGTCGTCGCGGTATGCGGGTGCGGTGCGGCGTCCGCTCTCGTCGTGGCCCTCCTCTGCGGCGCTTCCAAGTTCGTCGTCGTTTTCGCTGCCGTACTCATCTTCCCCCTCTTCGTCGTCGTCGGTGGTCTCTTCGATTTCGCCCGCGTCGCTGCTGGCATGCTGAGATCCGCCGCCGCGGCTGCGCGCGTGGAAGCGGGACGATGTGAAGCTCGACGACGACGCGAGCGACTCGGTGCGGTTCGCCGCGTCCAAGCAGGAGAGGGGCGTCATGGCGGGGAAGTGGGCGGCCTGGATGCGGTCCGAGGGCGCGGCGCTGCCCACGGCGGGGCGGTGGCTGCGCGCGCTCGACCGACGCCGCCGGTCATTGCTGTTGTTGTTGTTGTTGTTGTTGGCGGCGGCGGCGGCGACGACGGTGGCCGGAGCCTGAGGATCATCGTTGTGATGCGCTGCGGCGTGGGGCTGCCCTCGGTTGCCGGTGGTGGCGTTGGCGTTGTTGTCCATTGAATGGCGGGCGTCGCTGGCTCGGACCGACAGGCAGGAAGGTATGGTGGTTCTTTCTGTGAGTGTCTATGGAATGGGGTCGAAGCCGGGGAAAAGGGGGTGCGGTGGCGGTGGCGATGGCGGTGGCGGTGGAGCAGACGTAGGAAAAGCGGAGGGGCGTGTTTGTCTTGGGTTGCCCCTCGTCGTCGTCGTCGTCGGCGTCGGCGTTGCCGTCGTCGCTCGAGCAGCCTGGCGGGCCACGCCTAGGCAACGCCCTCCGGCGCCAGACGGGCCCACGGCGGCGTTGGATGGGTTGCGCGCCAGGCCCTAGCCTGGCCTGGCCTTTTTCTCTCGACGCTCGCGAAGATTCCAAAAACCCGGCTCGGAGAGGCCGCCCTCTGCCGCTGCCGCATCCATCGGTCGGGCAGCCTAAGCAAGCAAGCAAGCAAGCAAGCTGCCCCGGCCCAACTCTCGACCTGCCTGCCTGTCTGCCAGCCTAGCCTGCTTTCTCTGTGGACCCTGCATGCTTGACCCCGCGCGCGTCGTCGACGCAGCACCACGGACTGACGCTTGACGTCGTCCAGGTGACCGACCGCCTCCATCTCGTACGTCCAAGAAGAGTCGGCCCCACCACGTCGATGAGAAGAGATGGTGGGGTGAGCAGGATAAAGAGGTAGACAGGTGAGTGCAGTTCCCCATCCACCTCGCCCACCTGGCATCATTGCGGCACCTGTTTTTGGTAGCCCTGGTCTGGATCCAGCAGCTCGCTGCGGCCCAAAGACGCCGTCGAGCACCATGGCCAGACGGGCCTCTCCGGGCATGCTTGCCATCGTTGGACGACGGCTTCTGAGGGACGTCGCTCTCGATCGCTGTTCAAGGAGCAGGCGACAAGGGGCTAAATACCTCTGGTTGACATCCTTTGGCCACGAGGAGCCAGCTTCGACCTCGCCTTGACGACCCGCTTTGTCCCCGCCAGTCGCCAGCCATCGCTATGCACAGCCATTATCACTCTGCTGCCCTGCTTGATCCGAATCTCTCCCCGGGCTGCTACACCTTATGGAGGCGTGACTACTCTCGCTCAGGCGGACGATGAACGCGGGCGATGCCCTTGTCGAGAGCATCCTGCATGGCGAGCCAGGCCCACCACGCTCGACTCGTGCGAAAGGAAAGCCCAGGTCGGCCTGCGCCAACCAGAGTCCGGTCTGGGCTAGGCTCGCCCGCCACGCGCGCTCGGAGATTTCAACCTCGCCGATCCGACGGAGGATTTCGCGTTCATGCCGGCCCAGCCCGATACGATGACGATGTCGATGCTCGACGGCCACCAACGGGTTGGATCGGATCGGATCGGATCGGCCTGGTCTGGCCTGGCGGGGTCGGCTCCGTCATCGAAGCTCGACCTGGCCCAGGCTGGTGGCCAACCAAGAAGAGGGCCATCTGGCAATAAGCAACCACGGAGTGAAGCAAGGGGAAGCCAGCGCAGCGGTCGTGTGATGTCAGGCTGCGGGCCAGAAGAGAGCTCAGGCGGAGGCAGGATCGCCGAGATCAGCGCGGGTCGGCGACCATGCAGATGCTGCCTTCACTACTGGCCTGGCCTGGCATCGATGTGCTGGCACGACGCTGTGCGGGCGAGCGGGCGAGCCTGCTGCGGTGCGACGTCGCGGATGCCAAGACTTTGCTCGCCGCACAGCGCCGGCGCCTCTTTGCGTACACTGCGGCGACTTGAGGCGGCGAGCTGGCGCCAGGACGAACTCGTTCCTGCAAGGTACCGGCGCCAGGCCATCCCATCTGGTCTGCCATCACCCCCGCTCCCCGCTCCTCGAAGCCGGCGGAGAGATTGGCCGGCTGCCCAGGGGTCTGGCTTCAAACGGCGAGCGCCGGCTTGCTTGATTGTGCCTTCGAAGCGGCGATAGGTATACTCGTCAGGCTGTAGCGTTTCTTGATGGCCCATCGCCGACCTCCTCCGTACGCCGGCGATCCAGTGCCGTGGGCCGACGGGCTCGTCACAGGCTCACAGACACCGAGCTTGGTTCCGTCTGGTGCACCACCTCGTACTGTGCGCCGACGCATCGAGGCGTCTTTTGACGCTTGGCTGGGCGAGAATGGGCTGCGACCGTAGCAGAGAAACGGTGGTTGCGCGGTTGCGCGGCCCACCGAGCAGACGTACGACAGAGGCCCTGGCGATCTTTCTGGTGCCGGATGCTATAGCTGTGAGTTGGCCTGCCTGGCCTGGCCTGGCCTTTGCCCTCGATGCAGGGGTCGTCGCCGCAATTGCCAAGGCGGTGCGGGTGACCTCACCCCCTCCTCTGGCAACCACTGTCCGGCGGCTCAGGCTACGGGACCTAGCTATCCTAGCGCGGGTCGAGTGGCAAGCGCCGGGTGGAGGCTGTCCTGCCTCTCCTCCTCTGGACCGCACACGCTCGTACGGCCGCCGGAAGAGAGCGGATCCATCCAGACGCGACGAGTCGCTCGTCGAGACGCCCTGAAAGCAACGGCAGGTGGGACATGTCGGCAGCGCCGTCGATTTCATCATCATCGGCACGCCCTCGGGACTCGAGTTCCGGAGTGGCCGAAGAGGGCAGCCGGCCTGGCCACACATCCTGCTGCGTGTTTTCAAGGAGCAAGCAAGAGGTTATGCCGAGTCTACAAACACAGCTGGCAGGCAGAGAAGGCAGGCGGGCCAAGAGGCTTCAGCGCCATGAAAGAGGCGTCGAGGAAGCCTCGCAAGCAAGGCCGTCGGTCACCACTCTTAACTCTGATCTCCTCGTTTCATGCCATGGCACGGTCCGCCTGGAAGTCAGCAGACGCTCGCTCGCCAACATACATGTGCAAAGCAAGGGTGTGGACCCCCAAATCGAGGGGCCCGCTCGACGACGGGAGCAGCTCCGGCGCCCCCCCGGACTGAGGGTACAGAGCTAGGGAGTCTGCACGCCCTGCGCATCTCTGCGTCGCCGCGCCGGCCTGCACCAGCCTGCCTGCCTGCTACAGAGTAGCTCCGCTCGGCCCTTCCGTATCGGGGCAGCTACCCGTACAGCCTCCCTGCCTGCTGTGGCCCAGCCGACGAGCGGACCACGGGCCGTACCGTCGGATTCGAGAGAGGCAGCAACGAGCGGGGCTGGACAGGTACTGTAGGCAGCAGGTGACGAAATGCCGAGGCCGACGACGAGGCCGAGGGGCCGAAGCCGGCCGCGTCGTCGTCGTCGTTTGAGCGGGTTCGCCTCCGAGGTTTTTCTCCGGTGCCTGACTGAACCCGGCGACAAAGGCGGGCGCTGTGCCAGGCAGGCGGGCCCTACGGCGGCCAGGCCTTCTTGGCACACTTTTGCTAGAGGGACCCCCGGCAACTTGGCCCTCTCTCTTGCTCGTCGTCGTCGGCCTCTTCGTCCCTGGCCGCCTTGTCTTGCTACGACCACCAACCACGTCGACCAACACCGAGGTCGCATCTACTGCCTGCCGCTCTTCTCTCTTTCACAGCGGATGCTACCGACTTCTACTTCTGATCTCTGATCTCATCTCTGTCACACCCCCACCGAGGACGGTTTCGGTCGACCCACCTGCTTCCTGCTTCATCTTTGGCCGCCCTCGCCGAGCGTGTCGTCCCACAATCTCTCTGCCTGCATCTTCTCACGCTTTGGCCTGGCTCGCTCGCGCCGCAACCACCACCCATCTGCACCGACTGCCAGCCAGCGCGCCACGCATCAGGACGATACGCACGGTTCGCCTGTCGCCGCAGATCCCCCACCTCACCGCCACCGCCGCCGCCAACTGCCGCCACTCGACTGCCTATAGCTCCTTGCATCGCTCGCATCTCCTCTGGCTGGAGGAGCTGCCCGATAGAGATAGAGCCATCTCGGTACAACCGGTTGCACTCGTCACAACAGCGGTCCGCCCTGCCTTATACTCACAGCACCGCCTCATCCAGCCAAGGCACTGGCGCTGTCGTCCGCCTGCCTCCTTCGCCCGGCTGACCAAGATCGACGACCTCGTCGATCGCATACAGCCCGACGCCTCAATATCGCCTCCATCTGCGTCGCTCCGACAGTCGGTCTCGTCGCCGCCTCTCCCTGAAAGCACCCGGACGTTGCCGTCTTTGGCCTCTTCCCAAGATCGCTCTTGCCATCAAGCTTGACCTTGCGCTTCGACAAGGCCATTTAACCCCGCCCCTGGCTACACCCTCCCTGACCCATTGGCCCTCGCGGCTTGGCACACCAGCTCTCTCTCGCCACATTGCCCTGTGCTGGTCATCGTCACCACTTCCTCCTTCCGTCGCCGCTTGCCCGCCATGACCGACAGTCAGGACAGCACGCTCAACAACTCGAGCAGCGAGGAGAACCCGCCTCTCAACCCTCCCGCCCGTGATCCACAGGCGCCCTCCACCAACACCACCACTTCTGCCCTCGTCCAGGAGGGCGCTGTGTCGGCCTCGTCTGCCAATGGCTCTCGTGGTGCCTCTCGCGCCGGCCGCGTTCACTTTGACGGCTCCTCAGACGCCTCGTCTTGGCGAAGGGACCAGCTCCAGCTCTCGCAGGCTGGTGGCGGCGGGCCAACCGTCACTGCGCGCGGTGGCGCTCGGCCCGAAGGTGGTCTCAGCCTTGGCTCGGTGCACCGCCCGAACCACCCCGGCCCGCTCAATCTCGCCGAGCGCCTGACACCGCTGGGTGAAAAGGGCATGCCCGACCTCTCGCGGGCCAAAGCGGACGACACCTCACCCATGGCTCTGCCGCCCGCCGTCGCTGCCGGCCCTGTCACTGCCCCCGCACCGGTCGAGGTGCCAACGCTATCGCTCACGGGCGCAAAAGGGCTCGATGAGCAAGGCCTGGACAACCGTGCCTTCCTCGAGCTACAGAGGGAGCTGCAGAGGCACGAGGCCAAGAGCGACGACGGGCAGAACGGCAGCCCCACGAGCTGGCCTGGGGTGCGCGCCAATTCCGGCGCGACCGCCCCGGATGCCGCTCGGCAGGGTGCCCAGCGACACGCGCTTGAGCAGGCGCTCATGGAGAGGGAGCGCGAGCGCGAAGCGCGCCGGCAGCGGCAGGCCGCCGCATTCGCACCTGACACGCCCGGCGTCGTCTCGGCATCGGTCAGCGGTGCCTCGACTCCCGGAGGCGCAACGAGCGAAAGCAGCTACGACCCCGCCAACGACTCGGACCTGGATCACATCGACCTCGTTCCCGGCGAGACCGACGGCATGCCTGCGAGGATCCGGAAAAAGAAGGACGAGGAGCCGGCCGAGGAGCAGCCCAGAGGCTGGGCCAAGCTGCGCAGCATCTTTGGCAAGCCCGCCGACGACGACGAGCTCGACGAAAAGGAAAAGGGCGGCAGCGGGCCCGTCCCGCACGAAGAAGGCGGCCCGACCAACTGGAAATCGGTGCCCGTGCAGACCTCGAGCGGCCTTCACACGCAGGATGGTCCACGGAGGAAGCCGAGCAAGTTTGAGCGTGAGGCCGCTCGCCTGGTCAAGCAGCACAAGCTCGCCCAGACGCGGGCGAGCACCCTCAGCCGCATCAACCGCTCGCACCTGCCGGACTCGGGCGACACCACGCCCGATCCGATGGAGACGAGCATGCAGATGGATGCCCGGCCAATTGCCGCGGGCGGCGTCCTCGGCAACTTGCTGCGCCTCTACGAGCAGCAGCAGAGGGAGCAGATGGAGGCATCCGGCCGCAGCGCCGCCACCAGCTCCGTCGGCAGCGAGAGCGAGCTGCTGATGGACATCCCCGCCGGCGGCTCCGAGGCTGGTGGGGCGGCCGAAGCGGCCAAGGAGGACCGCGTCCCCGAAGCCGGACGCAACGTCAACGCGTACCCCTCGGCGAGCCCATTGGGCCGGACGAGCTTCAGCGCCGCCCCGTCGCCGGGCGGCGGGAGCAGGCCGACGAACCGACGCGGTTGGTCGCACAGCGGCATGCCCTCGCCCGGCATCGGCCAGACGTTCGCGCAAGTGGGCGGCAAGGTGGGCAGCAAGGTCATCAACACGTCTTCCAAGGTCGTCAAGGGCGTCGCCAACGAGGCCGGCTTCGAGGACGTCATGGACGAGAGGCCCAAGGCGGCTCGCTCCGGCGCCGGCGTGTTTGGCGCGCTCGTCGCCACCACGGGCAACCTGATCGGCGCCGTCTCGCCCGCCCACGCCCAGCTGGGCCCCAACCCGAAGCGACCCGGCTACACCCTGGACCGATACCTGCTGCCCGAGATGAACGCCAAGACACTCAAGAGGACAGCCCAGATCGTCGCCGATGCTGGACCCCGTCCCCACCGCACCAGCGGCTTCAGCTCACCCAACGAGACACGTTCCCACTCGGTGCCTGGCAGCCCGCCCATGAACGGTTTCGGCGGCGAGCGGATCGAGAGCGGATCGACGCAGCCGGGGACCCCGCCCACCGGTACGACGGGCGCCAACACGCCCAAGAAGCGCCCGGCCTCGATCATGATGTTCCCCAGCCGCAGCAAGACGTCGACCGACGCCAACGGCAACACGCCGCACCACCATCGCCGACTGCACCTGCCCGTGCCCGGCGCCTTGACCAAGTCCTGGACGGGCCACTCGACCGTCAACACGCCGGACGTCTACGGCGGGCCGCACGGCGACTACTTTGGCGTCGACAACGAGAAGCTGGCGCGCCAGGAGTGGCAGCGGAAGCTCAAGAAGCGGGCCAAGGACAAGCGGCGCAAAGAGGAGATCTTCATCACGATGCACGTCGCCGCCATCCTGCAGCGCCAGGAATTCCTGCTCAAGCTGTCGCGCGCGCTCATGATGTTTGGAGCGCCCACGCACCGCATCGAGACGCAGATCCAGCAGACGGCGAGGGTGCTCGAGGTCAACTGCCGGTGCATCTACCTACCCAATCTGATGCTGCTCGCGTTCGGCGACGACACGACCCACACGTCCGAGACCAAGTTCATCAAGCAGGGCGGCGGCCTCGACCTGACCAAGCTCACCGACATGCACTCCATCTACTGGAACGTGATCCACGACAAGATCGGCGTCGGCGAGGCGTCGGCCCAGCTCGACGAGCTCATGCGCCGGAAGCCGCTCATCGGGCGCTGGCCCATGGTCCTCATCGGCGGCTTTGCGTCGTTCTTCATCTGCCTGGGCACGGCCGGGTTCGGCGGCAGCTTTATCGACGCCCTGGCGGCGTTCCCGCTCGGAATGTTCCTGGTCTACTGCCAGTCGATCATCACCACGGAGCTCTACAGCAACGTGTTTGAGATCGTCTTTGCGACGCTCAACTCGTTCATCGCCGCGGCGCTCCAGTACAGCGGCATCTTCTGCTACTCGGCCGTCGTGTCGGGCTCGATTGTCCTGATCCTGCCGGGATTTATCGTGCTCAGCGGCTCGCTCGAGCTGCAGGCCAAGAACCTCATCGCCGGGAGCGTGCGAATGGTGTACGCCATCATCTACTCGCTCTTCCTGGGCTTTGGGCTGTCGATTGGCGTGTCGATCTGGGACCTCTTTCGCGGCGTTTCGGACGGCAGCCAGCCGTACGACATCTGCCGCCATCCGACCGACAAGGGCTGGTGGCGCAAGGACGTGCCCGAGATCTTTGCGCTGCTCACCACGCCCGGCTACTCGATCGCCCTCAGCCTGAGGAACCAGGTCAAGGTCAACCGCAAGGAGTTCCCCGTCATGGTCCTCATCGCCTGCGCCGGGTGGGCCAGCAACCACTTTAGCGCCAAGAGCCCCGCCCTCTCGGGCCGGCAGGACATTACGGCCGCGCTCGGATCGCTCGTCGTCGGACTGGCCGCCAACATCTACGGCCGCGTGTTTGACGGCCGCAGCTTTGTCGTGGCCGTGCCCGGTATCCTCTACCAGCTGCCCTCGGGCCTGTCCAACACCAACGGCGGGGGCATCCTGGGCTTCGCCAACACCGACAACACCACCACGTCCTACAGCACCTCGGGATTCGGCGTCGCGTCCAGCCTCGTCGAGACGGCGCTCGGCCTCACCGTCGGCCTGTTTACCAGCACCGTCATCAGCTACCTCTTTGGCGGACGAAAGGTTCGGAACGGCGGCGGCCTCTTCAGCTTCTAGCACGTCGTCTTCGGCACTCCCCCCAAAGTACCGTTCGCGCTCTGTCAAACCCACAACGCACATATCTCCTCTCGGTCTCTTCCTTCGCATCCCAAGCCAGTCACGGACGCTCTCTGCCTTGTCTCTCTCTCTCTCTCCTTTGCATCTCATCACAAGACGATCCTCGACGCCACTGCGCTCCTCTCTAGCATATACATCGTAAGCGGACCTCTCTGTCCCTCTACGCCGTCTCTCGAGATCGTTACAGCATTTTCAGGAGAAATAGATCTCATCGATCCCTCCTTCACTCCCTCATTTGACTCTTTGAATCGCTTCGCCGCGCTTGAACTTGCCAGCCGTGCGCGGCTAGGATCCTGTCCGCCTGACGCCGTGCGTTTAGCGTATCGTTGCACCTTCACCGCCACCGTATTGCACGTCTAGGCACAGCTCTGTCGAGGCAGGACTTACTGGTGTCATGCCGTGCATTGCCACGATGCTTCGGTCCTCGTACCCCGCAGCGCCAGCGCCGGCCAGAGGGGCTGCCTGCCCACGCCAGCTCTTACTCTCGCGATTTTATCCGACTTTCGCTCGCGTGTTCGGGCGGGTGGGCGAGCGGTTATGCATCTTCGTCTATCTGACAGCTGCCTGGCGTGCTTGGGCGGGCGGGCCAGAGCAGCGGACCCAACCGCCCGCGCTGCCAACTCCCCTTGGGAGATGGCACAATCGAAGGCGGATCGCACCATCGCGTCGTGCAATGGTGTCGAGCTTCCGTCCATGCCCCGCCTTTCTCAACCGTCATCCTTCGTACCCCAATCACGCACAGGCCCTATCACCCTTACTGTCGGCCCATTCGCCTACATCCCGGGACGCTAAGTACATGTAGTTACTGAACATGCAGCTTGAGGCCTCGGTCAGAGGAGCCAGGAAGCTCGTCAGCCGCCAAGATGGCCACGCCTTCAAGCGTCGCGCGCCGGCGGCAGCATCGCACGTCCGCGCCCGCTCACCATGTGTCGAAGTCCACGCGGCATCGACCGGCCCACTCCTCGCCGAAACCAGAGGCGTATCGCCTGACGAGCGAGATTCCCCGGACGCCCTTCTTGCGGACGAGCTGCTCGGAGAGGAGATTGCGATGGGACGACGCGGTTCAGCCGCCGTCGAGCTCTTGCCAGAAGGGGCAGAGTGTGACTTATCACGCCTGCTAGGAACAGCCTTGCTCCTCGACTCGGATGGCTCGTCGAGCCATGTGCTCGGATGAACTCGCTCTTGACGGCGGCATCTAGCGCTGATCCATCGGGCCCACAGCGGTGGCTGCTCGCGGCCATATAACCGCGCTCTTGATAGAGTCAGGGCCATAACCCCGCACGCGCACATTCTCCATACCTCTTCCTCCCTGCTCCTGGCCATCCCACCGCCCGTCGCTCCCCTGTCCTGCCTAAGTTCACCGCACCACCGTGCCCCGACTGGTTCCCGGACCGACCGACACAATCCCCAGCACTTGCGATGACGGTCGACATTGAAGGCGTGCCGACCGCGAACGCGTCGACTGCGCCATCGCGGCCACGGCACGAGGGCCGCTCCCCGAGCCTCGAGAGCATCGCGTCCAACAAGGCGGGCAACATCGGCAGCACCAGCAGCCACGATGAAGGCAGCGTCCTCATTGGCCGCGAGAACCTCTCGTCGGCGCTGCCGCCCGACGACGCCTACGAGGGCCGCCACCGGTGGGACCCGGATGCCAAGTGGACCGAGGCCGAGGAGCGCCGCGTGGTGCGCAAGACGGACCTGGTGCTCCTCTCGTGGCTCTGCGTCATGTTCTTTGGCCTGCAGCTCGACCGCGGCAACCTCAGCAACGCCACCGCCGACGGCATCCTCGCCGACCTCGGCCTGACCACCGACGACTACAACAACGGCACCACAATCCAGCTCGTCGCCTTCCTCGCCGCCGAGTTCCCCGTGCAGCTCCTCACCAAGCGCTACGGATTCCGCCGCGTCCTGCCGACCCTCATGAGCCTTTGGGGCATCGTCAGCCTGTTCCAGGCCTTTATGACCAACCGGACCGGCTTCTACGTCACCCGCGCCCTCATCGGCGCCGCAGAGGGCGGGTTCATCCCCTCGACGATCCTCTTCGCCAGCTACTTTTACAAGTCGCGCGAGCTCTCGGTGCGCCTGGCGTGGTTCTGGTCGACGCTCAATGTCGCGCGCGTCATCTCGGCGCTGCTGGCGGCGGGCATCCTCGAGATGCGCGGCATCGCCGGCCGTCCCGGCTGGTTCTGGCTTTTTGCGCTCGAGGGCCTGCTGACGGTGGTGCTGGCCATCGTCTCGTTCCTCTACCTGCCCGCCTCGCCCACCGACACGCGCAGCCCGCTCTTCCGCCGACCGTGGTACACGGAGCGCGAGGAGACGATCATGGTCAACCGCATCCTGCGCGACGACCCGGCAAAGGGGCGCACGCTGCTCAAGGAGCCCGCCACCTGGGCCGACGTCAAGGCCACCTGGTGCGACCCGTCGCTGTGGGGCCTCTTCTTCATCGGCCTCGTGGCCTACATCCCCGCCTCGCCCGTCCAGGCCTACCTCACCCTGACGCTCAAGCGCCTGGGCTTCAGCCGCTTCGACTCCAACATGCTCACCATCCCCTCGGCGGTGCTCCAGATCGTCACGATGCTGGCGCTGGCGTGGAGCAGCGACCGCACCAACGAGCGCACCTTCCACTGCGTCTTTGGCGAGCTGTGGATCCTGCCCCTGCTCGCCGCGCTCCTCGGCCTGCCCGACGGCGGCCGCGAGTGGTCGCGCTTCGCCCTCGTCACGCTCGTCTCGGGATACCCCTACTTCCACCCCATCGTCTCGTCCTGGATCTCGGAGAACACGTTCGACGTCAAGAAGCGCGCCATCGCCGCCGCCACCTACAACGTCATCGTCCAGGTTGGCTCGCTGATCAGCTCCCAGATCTACCGCAGCTACGACGGACCCTACTACAAGCAGGGCAACACGGTGCTCATCTCCATCTGCGCCCTGAGCCTGGTCGCCTTCGTCGTACAGCGCCAGTGGCTCGTCTACCTCAACTCGCAAAAGGAGCGCGCATGGCGGGAGCTGTCGCCCGAGGAGCGCGAGGCCTACCAGAACGACGTGCCCGCCCGGCAGGCCGACGGCAACCGGCGACTCGACTTTCGCTTTGCCTACTGATCGAGATTTGGCTGTCGCAGAGGAGCGTAAAAGGGCGAAAGAATCGGAGCACAACGTGGGAGCCGCGAGACAAGCGGTTCGTCGGTGGGGCCGGCACTTGCGCAGCGACCGGGCTGTGCCTTTGCAACTGATGACGGAGATCCATGCTTCTCCCGCTGCTTTCAACGCTCGTGAGCTGGAAAGTCACGTATGTATCATGTATCGAGCCATCGAACCATATCTTAGGAAAAGGGGCTGGGTGACGAACCGTGGTGCCCCATCTCAATCGAGAGCAAACATCCTGGACAAAGATCACGCATGACCTTTCTGCGCACCGAGACCGGGAGCTGCCCTGTGAGATGAGCGCGTTTGAGTGTGACATGACGCCCGATTTCATGTGCACTTTCTGCGGCGGCTGCGGTGGCACGCGCGATTACCGTTGCCCTGGCATCCTCAACCCTCCGGCCCGACTCAGAGAGGCAGCAACGAGACGCTCGATGCGACCTGTCGACGTGGCTGTCCTGCCGCCGTGTTCGTCGATACCGTCGGCCGTCTCGTCGTCTGCGACTTCCAGCCGTGCTTAAGGCCCCGGCGCGAGGCCGGCCGATGGTCGCGTTGCGTTCCTGTCGCAGCGCAGACGGACAGGCCTCGGCTGGAATCGATGTTTGATGGTTGCCTTCGCAGCTAGAGAGAACCGAGTCGGAGAAAGGCCTGACAGACATCTGGAAACGACCGGGTTTTGGACGCGTCTTGAGCGGGATCCAGAGGGTTAAGCAAGAAGGTCTGAAGCGCTGGTCGACGACTCGGGTCGACGGACGACAGCCGTGACGCTCTCTTCCGCGCGCCTGCAGCCGGAGGGTACGGCGAGCAGAAGCGGACCGGAGCAGATCGTGTGCCAGCAGTCCGAGTTCATGATCGGTCGAAACGAGCTAGGGACAGCCGCGCCGGCTCGCGGGAAGTGGCTCCGTCCCCATCTCTTTGTTGGCATCGGTGGCATGCAAACCGACTCAAGACTCGGGCCTATGAGCCAGAGCTGGCTGCGCCTCGGTATACACTGGCAAAGTCAGTCGGAAGTGGGGCGCAATCGTTCGCCCGCTTGCCTCCTCGCGATGCACCGCTCCGGTCCGAGATCTCAGGGGAGGGGGCGGCACAATGTCCATTGATGGATGGCTTCATTGTGGGTGTCTGTGGATATGGCGGTAGCATTGCAGGAGCGACCTGGTGGGGCAGGTGGGCGATGCATGACCGACGAGGAGAGAACGACGACAGAAGGGGTCGAGGCAGCATCTCGCTCTCGTTTTCAACAGGCAGCCCTGCGCTCTCCTTCGTTCGCAAGCGTCTGTGGCTTAGCTCACAGAGTCGTGGTGCCGTACGCCGCACTGTGCGCCCCAACTCGGACCCATCTTGCCGCTCTCCTGCAGCGGCGTCGCTCGTCGACTACCACCTATTGATCGCCTAGGCATGCGAGGAAGTTGTCGTCCGAGTCCAACAAAAGCCCTCAGCCTCGCGCCCACCGTCGCTGCTACAGGGCGTGTTAAGCTAAAGGCTGGCGACGGCCGGCCGGTCAGACACAAGGCGGACCAGAGAGATGATCGAACGGGCCGGATGCGACCTGAAGACCACGGGTGAGAAGGGATACCGAGAGCTACAGTACGACGGGATGTCGTTCCGGCCTCTCCGTCTGACCGGACATTTCCGAGATCTGTGCAGGGAGGGGGAGGAGACAGAGAAGGGCAGGCGGAGGCACAGGTATAAAGATGGCTTCAGTCCCGCACTTCCACCGACGTTGACTTTCTCTCCCCACCTCACCTTGAGCCTCTTAGGAAGCATCCCCTCGTACATCCCGACTGTCACCGTCGCCCTTTCGTTCCGATCCGCCCGAAGCAATCCAGCCCCAAAGTGAGTAGCTCCCTGCCGCCAAGCTTGCCGCACACCATTCGCTCCGCCACTGACACACCTGGCCGCCGCCGCCGCCGACGACGACGATGACAGATGAAGACCTTCAGCCCTCTCTGCACACTTCTCATCCTCGGCCTCGCGGTCGTGGTCGTTCCTGCCGTCGCAGAGATCAAGACGCTGCTCAACGGGGGCCCCGATGGCAACACGTGCCTCCTGGGCAGCTCCATCCCTCCCCAGGCGCCCGTGCCCTTCAACGGGGTCGTGTGCACGTTTAACACGAGGGAGAAGAAGTACGACTGCCCCGTTGGCAACGAGGCCTTCAACATCGCCTGCGAGAAGGCCGGCGGCTCCTTTGAAGTCGGCAGTGGACACTGATCGGATTTGGGGTCGGTCTGGCTGCAGCTGCGTCGTGGCAGCGCGATGATAGCTCTCGCCCCGGTCCTTGAACTTGACCCGGCACGGGCGATCTGTTGAGTCAGCTCTCGACGCTGCAGCCCTGGAGTAATCTGCCTTGGCTCTTGATCAGCCTCGTCATTCCGCTTCCCATCCTCGATCCCCTCTCATCTCCCTCGTCTTCCTCATCCCCTTCATCCCCTCAATCACGACCCCGTGACTCGTCCGCTTGAATTTCACGCCGTGTCCATCTCACCTATTTCGATGCGGGCGCCGGAATCCGATGTGTGACGACGTCGGAAGGGAGGCTGACGACGATCCGAAGACGAGAGCTGGAAGGAGAATGAAGGGTTCATCTGATCGAGGCCGAGACGGGCTCTTGACGACCGAGACGGCACCTGTCGGCCGATCGGTGGTGGGAGAGGGCGAGGGGGTGGGGGGTGGGTCGTATGGCGGCCTCGGAGGCTGACTGCCCCACCGCGGCGCCAACGAGTCCTTTTGCGTCTTTGTCCTCGCCAGATCTCCAGCCGCGCCACATACTGTATGTACGTAGCTGACTCGGGAACTATGCCGTCCAACCATGAGCTCGCGGTCGACATGCGCGATCGTGTCACTGCGGCCATGTGGGGGAGCATGCAGGCAGGGCGGGGTAGGGGTCCGCTTGAGCTTGTCGGTATCGACACCGTGCGACGGTCGCCGGTTGACTGTACGTACTGTATGTAGCTCGGGCCCCACGAGCGTTGTCGGCCATCTGGAGGGCACGTTCCAGCAGACTGGGCGGAGACCGACCTTGGCCGACGCCGGCGAGACAATTACATCGGGATGCCAAGTCGCGCTTTCGTTCCCGTCCAGACCCGAGCCCTACACGTTGTGCGGCGCTCATTGCTCTGTTGGCAAAAGGCGCAGCTGGCTTGCCAGACGACCGTTGCCAGCCGGCACTGTGCGGAGGGTGCGGTGGAATTGGCGCGGGTTGGGCGGCAAGTTTTCCGACAATAGGATGCAGGAGCCGTCGTGCCCGCTTGCTGGCCAGGTCGTGATGTCGTTATTGCTGGCAGATGACAGGTGGTAGACGGGGACGTGGTGGGTCAGAGGGAAACCGGGAACGGCGAGCCGAGCCCAAGGAGGGTGAAGGGGAGCGGACAAGATGCTTTAAGAGCTGCTGCTCGTCGCTCGTCGACGTCGCGCTTCCCATCCATCCTCTCGTCATCCCCAATCAAACACAAAGACCTCTCCGACGTGAGTGCCGCTCGACGATGACATGCGTCTCGACCGGCCATCGCAGTACCATGCTGATCCGCCACGCCATCGTTCTTGCTACATCCCATGGATGGCGACAGATGCAGCACCTCGTGTCGATCCCGCTCCTCATCGTCGCCATCGTGGCCCTGGCCGCGCCCGCGCTGGCCAGCAGGCCCGTTTACCGCGGTTCCAACGGGGGCACGTGCACCCTGCACACCGACGTCCATCCTCCGTTCGCCAAGCAGAGCACACTGCAGGGTAACCAGTGCACGCTGTCCAACTCGACGCCGACCTACGTCTGCGGCAAGCTCAACGTCGACCAGCTCGCCCTCGCCTGCCTCAATGCTAGGGGCGACTTTGCCAGGTCCTAGTGAGCGGCTGCCCGACTCGGTCGATTCTCGGACCCCTGTCGTTGGAGGGTATCGATACTTGAGGGGCTATAGAAGGTCAATGCCGAGTTTCGGTCGTCGCTCGATCCTTGTCCTTGGCGCGCGATCCCCTTTGGCTTTGCGCGCCCTCGTGAATGTGCACTCGCAACGAGCCTCCGAACACGCACGGTACTCTTGCCGTTTCATCCTGCTCAAGGCCGCTAGACTGCCCATGCGCATCGAGGTCCGTGTGCGCGGGTGTAGCCATGACAAAGTGGGGCAGCTTGCCATGTGGGCTGGACGAGCCCACCACGGCAGAGCTGTGCGATTCCTCTCGGCCTGACCGGGCTGTGCTGTCCCCCGACGATGTGGGCGGTCCTTGGTGCCGTGGTTCGGGTCCACATCCGTCTTGCCGCGATTAATGAAAGTCGATGCCTTGGTTGTGCGATGCACGATCGGCCTGGTCACTGGAATAGAAGCCAGCGGGCCGAGTGGGTCGACTCTGGCTGCTCGGTGTCGATGGTGGGTGAGAATCAAGGGGCGAGAGATGGACAAGGGCATACGTATAAGAGCTCCAGGTGCGCTGGGTCGTCGATACATCCTTCCATCCCTCCAACGCTTACCTTGCAAGCCCCCTCGCATTTGCTCCCAACTCTTTGCCCCCAAGGTGAGTCGAGAGGTTTGAACGTTGGTTCGCCAGTCGCAGCTGCCACCCAGTCTGACTGGAGCCGTTTACTTGCCTCGCTCCACCCGCCAGATGAAGTTTTCCACCTCGGTCCTGGGCTTGCTGGCCATGGTGCTTGCTGCCGACGTCGCTCCGGCCATGGCCGACGACTTGAAGGTGGTGCTGACCAACTTCTACTACACGTGCACGACGGGCCGCGGCGGTCCGTTCCCGCCTACGTTTAAGCTGGAGACGACGGTGTGCAAGCTTCGGGACAGGAAGCACATCTACGTGTGCGACATGGACTCGGGTCCCTTTATCCAAGCTTGCGACGGCATTGGGGGCGACGTCACGAAGGGACCCCCCTTTTGACGTTGCCCTCTGCCTGAGCGTTGGGCGGCCGAGCGGTGCGACGGTGGACGGTGGACGGTGACGTTGCAGAGCGGCTGCCGGTCCTCATGCCTCGCTGTACTCTGTGTCGGGTCACGATACGATCAACCCCCTTTTATGAGCCCCTTGGTGGTTGAGGCCGGGGAGCCATTATTATGAGCTGAGGTGGTGTGGCAGCGAGCAGAGTTGAGGACCGTTAGCGAGTGTCTGCAGTTATGTACGTTGCATTGGGCATAGGTCGCTGCGTCGAGCGAGTCGAGGCCGTGCGAGGACGATGAGGGGTGGTGCGTCGACGGTTGGCGGAGGTGATAAGGTACTCTGTACTAGTCGGAGGCGCGCGGCGAGGGGTTGTTGAGAGCGTCGAGGTGCGGTGTTGGACTGGCGGCCTGCAACCCGGCGGGGCGCGCGTTGCATGCCGGCGGGTCGAGGCGAGGCGAGGAAAAAGGAGGGCGACCGTCAGGCAGGGTCCAGCCAGATGGAAGCAGCGGCGGCAAGCTACATTAGGCTGCTTTGGCCGAGCGAGGGGTCGGCGTGCGGGTGTGCGGGGGATGGGCATGCAAGGTGGCCAGAGCACCAGGGGCTCCAGGATTGCCGGCCCTTTATCGTCGAGACCATCGAGCATCGCCACGGCTCAACCGACGACAAGCAAGGCGAGGGACGGCAAACGACAACCGACGAGCGACCAGACGACGTCGGTGTTGCGCCGCGCCACAGACGGCCACTAGACGGGGCCAGAGGTGGGTGGGGCGTAGTTGATGTCGGCATGCCCGAGGCCAGACTAACTAAGAGCGCCCGACCCGGACGTCGAAAGCGCTGCGCTGCCCTCTCCTCTGCTCGTCCCCTCCTCGTCTTCTTCTCTCGTCCCATCCTTCCTCCATCCATTCGCCCGCGCTCCTCCTCACGCCCCTGTCCCTGCCCCTGCCCCTCCCCATCCCCGATCCGCCCCACTTGGCTCGTTTGCCCATCGCCTCTCGCTCACCACACTCACTCCTTGGTACCTTCCCTAGCCGCCACACCATCCTTTGTCCCGCATCCCATCGCCCCGCCCCGCCCCGCCGAGCATGCAAATCCGCACCGCACTCGCACCTCTCCTCTGTCTCTCCCTCATCGTCGCCGCATCACCACCACCACCACCAGCAGCACCACCTGAGCACCATGCCGACACCGACGCGGTACCGCTACACATCCCCCTCGTCCCACGCCACGTCGCACCATCCAACGACGCCCACAACCACGATGCAGCCGTAGACTGGAACCAGCTCCACAGAAAGGCGCTCCACCTCTCGACCCGCTACTCCGATGCCCCCAACCAGCACCTACAGCCTAGCCAGCAGGGCCAGCTTGTCCAACGCGGCCCGCCACAGCGCCACGCCAGAACCAACAAGGCCAGCCACGCTCCCGCCCATCACCATCAGCACCACCAACAGCAGCAGCAGCACCACGACGACCACCCTGCCGCACCACCATCACCACCCACCAAGAACCGCATGGCCATCACCGACCCGTCATCGCCGCCGCCGTCCAAGGGCACCACGTCGGCGCTCTCGCTGCAAAACGTCTACCAGGACGGCATGGACCAAGAGTACCTCGCCACCGTCCGCATCGGCACCCCCGGCGTCGACTTCCGCATGGTGCCCGACTCGGGCTCCTCGGACACCTGGCTCGCCGCCGCGTCGTGCTCGGCGCCCAGCTGCGCCGGCGTAAAGCGCACCCGCTTCGACCCGACGCGCTCCTCGTCCTACTCTTCGCTCCAACGCGACTTTTCCCTCTCCTACGGCATCGGCAAGGTGTCCGGCTCGCTCTTCCGCGACGTCGTCGCCTTCCCCTCGTCGTCGTCGTCGTCTGGCGGCGGCGGTGGTGGTGGTGGTGGTGGTGGAGGAGGAGGAGGTCCGGGTGGGGCGACGCCGCCGACGGTGAACACGACGTTGGGGATGACGACGACCCTCTCTTCCGACTGGGCAAAGGACGCGTCGGACGGCATCCTCGGGCTCGGCTTCCGCAAGATTTCGGCAGAGGGCACGGTGCCCGTCTTTGACAGCCTGACCCGCCAGCACCAGGTGGCGGCGTCGCAGATCGCTTTCGCCTTTGGACGCCGGCGCGACGGCACCGAGGCCAAGTCCGAGATGGTCGTCGGCGGCACCAATCCGGCCAAGATCCGCGGCGACATCCACTGGTTCCCCGTGGACCGACGCGGGTACTGGCAGTTTGCCATCCGCGGGTTGGGCGTCGGCGATGGTCCACTTGTCCAGCCCGGCGACAGCGACGGCAAGGGCGAGGGCAAGCGCGATGGCGCCGGAGGAGGAGGGGGAGGAGGAGAGGGGGGCAAGGACGAAGCGACAATCTCAGCCATCGTGGATACGGGGACGTCGCTCATCGCCCTCTCGCGCGGGATGGCATCGGCATTCTGGTCGCGGATCCCGGGCGCGACGCTGCACCGGGACACGCAGTACTACACCTACCCGTGCGCCACCTCGATAGGGGCCTACATTGAAACGGGGGATGGACGACGGTGGTCGATTGACGATGTCGATCTCAACCTGGGTCGTGTATCGCGCGGTTCGGATCGATGCATCGGCGGCATCCTCGTCGCTGACTCCGTCGCCGACCGAATCGTACTCGGCCTTGCGTTTCTCAAAAACGTCTATACCGTCCTCGACCGCGAGGCTGCCCAGCCACGCATTGGCTTGGCCAGTGTCAACCTGTAGACGGGCGAGAATGTGCAGAGAGAGAGAGAGCGGGAGGGCAGAGGTTGTAGATAGTCGGTTGGTCGGTTGGTCGGTCGGTCGGTCGGTCGTCGTCGTTCGTTTCCCGTCGTCTTCGTCGTTCGTTTCCCGTCGTCGTCGTCGTTCATTTCCCGTCATCGACGTAGTTCGTTTCCCGTCGTCGACGTTGGACGTTTTCCGTCGTCCATCCATCGTTCGCTCGTTTGTTTGTCATTCCCTCGTTTCTCGGACATTTCATATCCCTTCAATCTCAATGCCTCGATCCGCTTACCTCTTTGCCTGCCTGCCTGCCTGCCTGCCTGCCTGCTCGTCGAGACCTCGAGTGTCGATGGGCGGGGTAGTCGATTGTGCACCAGGTCATCGAGAGCAGGCAGCTGCTAGATCGGTTGGATTGGCTCAATGGGCTGCCTGGTACGGTACGGAATGGCATAGCATGGCAGTGTGCGGTATCGACGGGGCGTAGACTGATTGGCTCTCCCTCCTGGCTGAGCGCAGCTGAGCTGTCCCTGTCCGGCGACGTCGACAAACCGCCCCCGCCCCCGCCCCCGCACCCGCTCTCCCTCCCTACGACTCTCTCTGCCCTGCGCCCACCACCGCCGCTCATCGCCTCCACCCCTGCGCCGGCCCAGCGCTATTGGCGCCCGTCGCGAAGGGAGGTGCACCAGCTGCCGCACTGCCGCCACCGCCGCCGCCGCCGTAGCTCGACGGAGTCTGCGGACGGCTGTTCCACCGGCTACCGCCATTCGACGGTACCCCACTCCCGCCTTCGTAGTACGCTCCACCACCGCCACCGCCACCGGATGCCAACGTCGACGGCGTGCCCGGGCGCGTCGAGGCGCGGCTGCTGCCAATCGAGTGCGAGGCGAGCCGCTCGTGCGAGTAGCCGTCGAGGACGTGGACGATGCCCATCGTCATGCGCTCGAACTCCCCAATCTCCTGCGCGCTCAGGCTCAGGTCGGTGCGGTCGCCCCACTCGTCGTCGTCGTCGTCCTCGCCGCCCTCGTCCTGCGCCTGGTCAACGTCGTCCCAGTCGGAGCGCGCTCCCAGCTGCTTGTTGTTGTTGTTGTTGTTGTTGTTGCTGTTGCTGTTGTTGCCGCCTCGGCGCTGCTGCTGCTGGGCAGCGCCGCCGCGGTTGCCGCCCGTGGGTCGTTTGCCGATGCCCTCAAAGACGCGCAGCATGACGACGTCCATGATGGCCTTGAGGCGCTCCAGGTCGTCGAGCGCGTCGAGGTTGCCCGTGATGGGCAGCCAGTCGTCGCACTCGATGCCGCTGCTCGTCACGCGCACGTCGTACGCGCCAAACAGCATGTAGGTGAGCGGGTCGAGGCGCGTGCACCCGCGCAGCATCGTCATGGCGTTCGAGGCGCCGCCGCTCGTCTGCATCGACGTGTTGCGCACCTTTTCGCTAAACGCGATCAGCTCGCGCTCGCCCGTGTGCGACGCGTCGTCGTGCTTGTGCTTGGTGTACTTGAGGTGGCACACGCTCGCCGGGTGGATAAAGCACGTCTTGTCCTGCGACGTGCGGTACGTCTTTTCGTTGGCACGGATGGCAAAGTTGGGCGCCGTCGCCACCGCAATCAAAGCGGCCAGCAGCGGCGCGCTGTCCGAGTTGGTGTTGAACTCGGGATCCGTCTCGCGCGGCCGCGCGCGGTAACGGCCGGGAGCCGTGTAGGTGCCACCGCCGCCGCCGCGCTGCTGCTGCTGCTGGCTCTGGATGACCTGGATGATGTCGGCCTTTTCCATGCTCTGGAACAGGTGCTCCTTGACCTGCTGGATGCCGAGCAGCGTCGTTTTGGAGAGGAAGTTGTCGCTGCAGAAGCGATTGGCCGCCACGTACTCGCCGCGCCCCTGCATGTCCCACCAGCGCGTGTAGGCGCGCAGGATGCCGAGCGCGTCGGAGCGGAAGTCGGGCGGGCACCACTGGTCCTTGATGGCGTCGGCCTCCTTCTTCAGGTGGACGGGCGCCATGAACGGGTCGCGGTTGGTCAGGATGGCGGCGAGCGAGAGGACCGGGTCGAGGCAGCGGAAAAAGGCGCCGTAGAGGCACATCTTGCCCATGGGTGCGTCGACGGGCAGCTGGAGCAGCACGCGGCCGAGCGACGTGAGGCGCTTGTCCTGGTCCAGGGCGCCCACCATCTTGAGCTTCTCCATGGCGGCGCGCACGCGCTCGGGCGCTGGCGGCTCGATGGCGGCGGCCAGCACGTCCTCGACCTCCATGCCGGGGATGTCGAGCGCCTTGATGTGCATCACGACGTTGCTGAGGTCGACGCGCTTCATCTCGACCGTCTGGTTGACGCTGAGCCGGTCGTAGCGCGCCTTGCTCAGCACGCCGTAGTACTCGCCGGGGCGATGGCGTCCCGCACGGCCGGCGCGCTGGTTGAGATTCGACGTGCCCACCCAAGCCGACACCAGGCTCGACAGGTGGCGCTCCGGGTCGAAGCGCTTCTCCTTGACGCGGCCCGTGTCGACGACGTAGACGACGTCCGGGATCGTGATCGACGTCTCGGCGATGTTGGTTGCCAGAATGATGCGGCGAATGCCAGCGTGGCGGACCGGCTCGAAGACGGCCTGCTGGTCCTGGACGGGGATCGTCGAGTGCAGGATGTGGATCTCAAACTGGTTGCCGTCATTGAAGTTGAGGCCCATCAGCGGGCGCTGGCGCGGGTCCGAGAGGATCTGGTTGACGGACTTGATCTCCTCCCAGCCGGGCAAGAAGACGAGCACGTGGCCCTCCTCGGACGTCGACAGGACGTAGGCAATCATGAGCGCCACGAGCGGGTACGGCAGCTCGAGGTCATCGACCTGGTCGGACAGCACCATCTCGCCGCCGCCTTCAAGCGACTGCCCGCCGCGTGCGGCCATCATGCCTCCGCGCTGGTTGATCTCGCGCTCGAGGTAGTCGCGCACGTTCTTCTCGCGCCACACCCAGCCGCCGTCGCTGGGGCCGAGCTGCATGGCCTGCAGCTGGTGCACCGTCTCCTCGAGGTAGTGCTTCTCGACGGGGAAGCTGCGGCCGGGCACCTCGACGACAGGCGCGGGTCGGCCGAGCGAATCAGTAAAGTAGCGCTGGAAGAGCGTCGGGTCGATGGTGGCGCTCATCAGGATCACCTTGATCTCGCGCTTGCCCATGCGGCGCCGCTCCTCGAGCAGGCGCTTGATGACGACGAGCAGCAGGTCGGTCTCGACGTCGCGCTCGTGCACCTCGTCGATAACGACGTGGGTGATCGAGTCGAGGAAGCCGTTGCTCGACTCGGCGTCGCCCAGCGCCGACTGGAGGCGGCGCAGGAAGACGCCGGTGGTGCAGAAGGTGACGGAGCCGTTGGGCTGGGGCAGCTTGGCCTCGAAGCGGACCTGGTAGCCCACGCTCTCGCCCAGCTTCTCGCCGCGCTCGCGGGCCACGCGCTCGGCCACACTGATGGCAGCGATGCGACGAGGCTGGGTGCAGATGATGTTGCACTCGCCGCCGCGGCCCTGGAGGATGTAGTCGTCAAAGAGGATCTGCGGGATCTGGGTCGTCTTGCCCGAGCCGGTGGCGGCCATGCAGATCGTGACCTGGTTGAGCTCGATCTTGACCAGTACGTCGCTCTGCTTTTGCGTGACGGGCAACGAGGCGCGCTGGTCGCGCAGCGCGGCGAGGCGATCGTCGGAGTGGTACACCTCGAGCCGCTGCATGAGCTGCTCGGACTTGGCGCGGATCACGTCGTCAGTGGCGCGCCGCTGGTTGTCGTAGCGCCGCGCCCGCTTGCGCGCCTGCTGCTGCTGCAGCTCTTGCTGGCGCTGCTGCTCTTCGTCGTCGGCGCCCTCGCCCGCCGCCAGCCTGCCGGCGGTGCGCGGCCGCTTGGCAAAGATCTTGCTGCGGCGCACCTCTTCGTAGATGCCGCGCACGTCGTCGTCGAGCTCGTCGCTCATCGTAAAGTAGATGTGCGGCGCCATACCGATGGGCGCGCCGGGCACGTGGGTCGCGTCAAAGTGCTTCCACAGCTCCGGGTCGGTGCTCTCGAGGTACTGGACCGTGTCGAGGTAGCAGTTGGTGGTGGCCGCCTTCTTGTTGCGGCCGCTGGCCTCGCCAATCTCGGAGCCGCCGACGGTCATGGTGGCGCGCCATCCCGTGCTGACCGACTTGCGCCCCTTTTGCTGCGTCGCCGGGTGGACCGAGATGTCGGGTTTGCCAAACTTGAACTTGCGGCAGTAGAAGTCCATGAACTCGCGCGCCCGGTCCGCCGTAAGGTTGGATCCGTCCGAGAGCTTGACCGTCTCCTGGGCGCTGGCGGCGCCCGAGGCGGCGAGCGCGGCGGCGACGGCTGCGCTGGGCTTGGGCGCCTTGTTGAGGAGGTCGCCCTGCTCCTGGAGGAAGAGGACGGCGTGGAGGGCGGCCGCCTTTTCCGCGTCCTTGGCCGTCTTTGCGTCGCCGTAGACTGCCCAGCCGCGGTCGGCGTCGAGGACGAGCGTGGACCGGATGTTTTTGTCGCGGCGCCCTTCGACGCGGCCCTCTTCGTTTGAGTAGACGGGAGCCTGCCCGGTCGAGAGGAGGACGTAGTTCTGGATGGGGCTCTTTGGGTTCTCGAGCCACTGCTGCTTTATGCGCCCGCTCTCGACGAGGCCGATGTAGTACTCTCGGATGTGGGCGGCGGTCTGGTAGGGCAAGGGCTGGGTGGGGAGGAACTTGGACGCCGCCACCGACGATGCCGCAGCCGCTGTCGACGAAGAGGCGGCTTTGCGGCCGCCGGAGCGTTTGCCGTTGCTGGGACCGCCCCTGCCACCGCGCTTCGACGACGAAGAAGGGGCCGATGCGCCGCCGCCGCTGGCGCCTCCTCCTCCGCTACCCCGGCCCCAGCTCGAGGAGCCGCCGGATGCGGATCCGGTGGCAGCTGCGCCGGTGCGCCATGAGGGTGCCTGATCGGACATGAATCTGCTTCTGAGGTCGGACGTGAGGTTTTTGTTCCTGCCGGTGAGGTGGACCGTGATGGTCGAAAAGTGCCGCGGTACAGTCGGGCTTTTGTTGGTGACTAGGAGCGCAGCGATGCGTGCTGCGAGGTGCCGGATGGCTGCTATGGGGCCCAGGATACTGGTGGCTGAATGCGGCACCGTATAGGCGCTGCGACCGAGACGAAGTCAAGGGTCGTAGGGGGTGTAGCAGCGGCTTTGCTGTTTTTGGAGACGATCGACCAAGGCGGGCGGAGGGTTGCAACGGAGCGTCGATCGGCGTCGAGAGGGGAGCAAGTCGTGTGCCAAGCAGCCGGTTTCAGACAGAGCGAAGCAGAGCGTGGAGCAGCGTCGGTCGTATTAGCGGCGGGCGGCAGCGGCGTCGTAGTCTAGAGAAGACAAGGGCGGGCGTGCGCGTAGCTGTGCCGTACCGTGCGATTGAATGCGGTGCGGTGCTGTGCGAGTAGGGTAAGTGCAGGCGATCCGGACCGAGGCACTAGCGGAGCAAAAGGATGCACGACAGTCGTCAAAGTGAGAGGGACGGTGGAAGGGCAGGGAGGGGGGTGACAGCGGTGGTGGTGGTGGTGGTAGCTCGAGATGCTGGCGAGGAAGAGACGGGGAAATTGTGAAAAAGCCGAAATGCGCGAAGCTGAGCGACAGCAGGCAGACAGCTCAGGCTGCAGGCAGGCGAGGCCAGGGGCCCTGCCAGCAGAGGGGCAGACAGGCAGGCAGCCTAAGATCGAGACAGGCAGGCAGCGCTGCGGAAAAAAGAAGATCGAGGCAGGGCGACCCTGGCTGGCAGGCCTTGGCTTGGCCAGGGCCTTGACGTCGCCGGCTTTCTGGCTGGCTGCTAGGCCAGGCCAGGCCTGACAGCGCTGGCTGACACGCGTCGCTCTTCGCCTGCCAGGCAGGCCCGTCGATTCCGCACAACGCAACGCTCGACGCTACAAGGCCAAGGCGGCGCAGTGAGGGAAGAGGTCGATGCCATCGTCGTTGCGCTCTACTAGGCTACGGCCGAGTCTCTACGGGGCAGGGGCGACGACTTGGTATGGCAGGCGTCGCCCGTTCACGCCTTGAGGTGGACCGCCTCGACAAAGGCGGCCAGGTCGGCGCGCCGAACCTCGACGGCGGCCGTCTCGAACCGGTCGTAGCGCACCCGCGCACCGCTCTGGGATGCTGCCTGCTGGAACGCCAGCCCGAACCGGTTGGGTTCCGTGTCGCCGAACATGGGCGCGCCCACCTGGCCCAGCACCAGGAAGATGTCGCGCGCCGGGTCCAGCGAGGCCAGCAGAAAGGGTAGCGGCTTGGTCTCAAACTCGATCTCGACGTCGTCGTCGCCGTCGTCGCCGTCCTGCCTGTCCTGCTCGCCCTCGTCCTCGCCCCCGTCGCCGTCGCCATCGCCCCCGGTCAGGGCAGATGAGCGGCGCCGCTTCTTGGCCCTCCTGCCTGCCGCCCGCTTGGCCGCCCGCTTCTGCAGCGCCCGGTTGCGCTCCTGCTCCCACACCTTGTCCCGCAGCGCATCGACCAGCCACCGCGCCAGCTTGGCCAGCACGTCGACGTGCGTAAACAGCTCCAGGTCCGGCCCGTCCTTGAGGATGGCCATCCGGAAGTTCTTGAGCGTCCGGATCGACTGGTTGACAATCAGACCCGTGCCCCGGCCCACAATGGCGCGGTGCAGCGACTGCGACAGCATCAGCGACGACCGCAGCAGCGACACCGACGTCGAGCCCCGGTCCAGCGCGCGGTACGCCTCGTAGAAGTTCTTGCGCCACAGCGTGCTCGTCTCGACCGTCGACGGGTCCACCTGGCTGTCGGGCGGCAGCGTCGGATCGCCGTTGCCGTTGCTGGCGCCCGATGCGCCATTGCCAGACGAAGACGAGCCGGCGGCCGACGAGAGCGACCAGAGGCGCTTGGCGTTGAACAGCTCGCTGCCGCCCGATCCAGACCCCGCTCCACCGGGTCCCACACCGTTGCCCACGAGCGAGTTGCCCAGCGGCCCGCCCGCGCCGCCGGCAAAGCCCATGCCGGGCACCTCGACCTCGATCTTGATGCCATGAGCCGCCACCAGGAGCGCGCTCAAACCCTCGACGACGTCGGCCGCGCTCAGCGGGCTGCTGCGGAACCCGAACCCGCGCGTGAAGCCGCGGTAGGTGAGCTCGGTCAGGCCGTACTCGGGCGCAATCTGCTCGAGGCGCGACACGAGCGTCTTGCGCAGATCAAGGGCCATGTGCGGGAAGTGCTGGCGGCAGTTGGTCAGACTGAAGCCCATCTTGGCCATCAGGCTGCGCAGCCGCCCCATGCCCCGCTCCTGCCAGATGCCCAGCTTGGACGCCACGTAGGCCGTGTGGTACATCGACGACTCGAGCGACCAGTGGCGGTAGAGGACGAAGCGTAGCTCCGACGGCTGCACGCGGATCGCAGCATCGTCGGCGTCGGGATCGCCGGGCCTCGCCCGCGCCACCAAGGCGGCGGCAGCGGTCGTCATGTTGCTGCCGTCCGCCCCACCACCACCGCCGCTGCTGCTACGACCGCCCTTGCCCTTCGCGCCGCCGGCGGTGGCCGGCGAGTCGGCCGACCATGGGTCGACGGCACCGGCGCCGCCAGAGCTTGACGTCGACGTCGGCTCGATGGCGTGGACCTCGGACGCGTAGGCCGATGCGAATGCGTCGTAGGTGTCGGTCGAGATGGTGGCGGCGAGATACTGGGACGTGAGGCCGAGGATGGCGAGCCAGAGGCCGTCGCGCCCGCCGCGGCCGAGCTTGTCGGCGAGCAGGTACATCATGCCAGCGACCGACATGCCGACGTTTGTGCCGCGGTTGTAGTAGCGCGAGAGGACGTTGCGCAGCCGCTGCCGCTCGATGGCCGTCAGGCGAGCAGGGCGGTCAGGCTGTTGCCGGTCGCGCTTGCGGCGCCGTTTCCGGGCGGCAATTGAGCGCTGCGGAACGAGGAAGAGCGGAGGGGATGGCTTGAAATCAGCGCCAGTCAAATCGAAGATCTGCAGAGGTCAGCGATCAGGGCGGCAGAGCGGGTACTCACGTCGCCGTCGTCCGATGCGTCCTCCTCGCCCTCGCTGCCAGAGACCGCCGGCGACCTCTTTCTCCGCTTCTTGTTGCGCCGTTGCCCTGCATCACCGGCCTCGCTCCGATCTTCGGCCTCGTCGTCATCGTCCTCCTCCTCATCGTCGTCGTCGTCGCTGCTGCCGGTATCGCTGCCCTCTCCGTCGCTGCTCTCGCTATCGCTGGCATCGACGTCGAATTCGAGCCTTTCGAACGCCTCGCGCTCTCCGCCGGGGCGCTGGAGCTTCATCTCGATGTCACCGTCGTCCCAGATCCAGACGCGCTCGTTGATCTCGGTGGTTGCAAAGAGGTTTTCGAGGTTCCAGGGTCTGTGGCTGTCGATGACGTGCAAGGTGCAGGCGGGGGGCAGGGGGACGGTGGTGGGGAGGGAGAGGACGGAGCCGAGGTTGACCATGACGATGGAGCGGAGGTCGGGGTTGGCCTCGACGTCTTCGCGGAGGACGCGGAGGAGGCCGCGGTAACCCTCTACGGGGATGATGCGGTGCGGGATGTCGTCCTCTGTGAGGAGCGCGGTGAGGATGCGGGTGGCGCAGATTGCGTCGACGTCGGGCGATACGAGGACGAGGACCGACGAGGACGAGGATGAGGCCGAGGTGCGCGACGAGGTGCGTATGCGCTGGTAGGCGTGGGTATAGTCCTGGCGCCGCGACGACGGACCGGCGTGCGGGGCACCGCCAGTGCTGCTGCTGGGCGAAGAGACGATGACCATGGCATGGGCGAGGAGAGTGGGTGTTTGGCCTGCGGTGGATAGAGGGGTGAGGTGGAGGGGTGGAACGGGGTGAGGCCTGTCTAGGTGGGTGTAGCGTCAGGGCGGGACCTGCACCCTCGTCGACGTTGAGTGGAAGCGATGCGATTGCAGCGGCGAGGTAGGCCCGGGCGAAGCAGATGCGATGGTAGTGTTGATGGCGGTCGTGGTGGCGGTCAATGGCGCCGAGAGGATGAGGTGTTGGGCCTCGACGCGCTCCAGATGCAAAATGAGCAGGTCAGTCCGAGGCGAGGCTGCCAGGCAGGCAGGCCAACACGCACACCCCTTCGCGACGCGACTCCTTTCGCTTGGGAAGGCGGCTCGCGTTGATGAGCTCACTTCTGACTCGGGCGAGAGACAAGTTCTCCTCCCCTCCCGCCGGGCCCTGATCGAGCCAGCCAGCCAGCCAGGCCAGCCAACCCGCCAGCAAGAAGACATGGCCAGGCTGGACGGGGCTGCAGCCAGCGAGGCAGACGCAGCCAGCTTGGCCACTCTGCGCACTGGCCACAGCCAAGGCAAGCAAAGAAGGCCATCCCGCCAACCGTCGAGCGGCGCGGGCCCCAGGCCGTCAGGACAGGACAGGTTCTTCGCAGCCAGCCCCAGGCTACCAGCACCCTCGCCGCCACCAACATCCGTCCATCCTTGACCCCCCGCACCCGGCACACCCCACATCGACGCCAGCACGATGAAGATACCAACAGCGCGGTCACTACCATCGCTCCTGCTCGCCGCATCGTCTGCGCTGCTCGCCGTCGGCATCTCGACCGCAGTAGCAGCAGCCTCGGCGACGGCGGCGACGGCGGCGGCGGCCAAGGGCGGTAGCGGCGACGCAACGCTCCGGGCGATGCTCCCCTCGTCTGCGGACTGGACCAACCTCAACTACGTCAAGCAGCTCGACCTCGGCGGCTCCGTATCCCACCTCCTCACCTCGGTCACCCTCCAGTCCAACCTGGCCCACGACGACGTCGACGGCGCAGAGGCCGTGCAGCTCTACTTCTTCACCCTGCCCGCCGACGAGGCGCGCGCCCTCTCGTGGGCCAGGGCCTCGGTTCGCCCCGCCGCATCCAGCCTGCTCGCAAAGTACGGCGGCATCCCAAAGGGACAGCGACCCGTCCTCGACTTTAACCCACTCGGCCCGCTCGCAGACGATGCCGACACCTACCTCTTTTCCGTTCCCGTCCCCGTCGCCGCCTTCGCCCAGGCGGGAGGCGACAACGACGACGCCGCCGCTGGAAAGGACGCCGGGCTGATGCTCTCGCTCGAGGCGTCGCTCAACCACATCACCAAGCCGCTGCCCGCCAGCATCAAGCAGACCGAGTCCCAGTTCCTCGTCTGGACCGGCGACGTCGACGTCCGCTCGCCCTACCCGACCGTCGCCGGCAGGGTCAAGGTCAAGTCGTCGCACCCGCGCATCGTCTCGTACGAGCCCACCGAGCCCGCGACAAAGGTCGGATCCACCATCACCTTTGGCCCTTACTCGTCCGTGCCCGCCTTTTCGCCCACCACCGCCGTGGCCGCTGCGTCCGTTCGGCAGGGCAAGGTGCACTACCAGCACGACCAGCCCGTCGTCTCGCTCGTCTCGCTCGAGCGCACCGTGGAGATCTCGCACTGGGGCGACAACCTGGCCGTCGAGGACCGCATCTGGCTGCGCAACGACGGTCCGCAGCTCAAGGGCCACTTTTCGCGCATCGACCACCAGATGTCGAGCTTCTACAAGCAGGGCAGCAGCCACGCCCTCACCACCCTCGCCATGCACCTGCCCCCGGGCGCGCGCGACGCCTATTTTGTTGACCAGATCGGCAACGTCTCGACCAGCCACTTCCGCCCGCTGCCCGCCACGCCCTCGCCGCCCACGACGCCCCTCAACCTTCTGCCGCCCACCAAGGCCAGCCTGCTCGAGCTGCAGCCCCGCTTCCCGCTCCTCGGCGGCTGGAACTACAGCTTCGTCGTCGGCTTCAACCTGCCCCTCTCCCAGGGCGGCTGGCTCAAGACGGTGGCCGGAGACGAATCGTCCTCGTCGGCGGCGGCGGCCGGGGTGGGCGGTACCGTGTACTCTGCGGCCATCCCCTTCCTTACGCCCATCACCGACATGGCCATCGACGAAGCGACGGTGCGCATCGTGCTGCCCGAGGGTGCGGAGCCGCTCGACCTGGCTCTGCCCTTTGACGTCGAGAGCAGCACCGAGGAGGTGACCAAGACCTACCTCGATACGCGCGGCCGCAAGACGATTGTGCTGCGCCGCACCAACAACAGCGAGAGGATAGGACAGCTCGTCTACATCCGCTACCGCCTTTCGGCCCTCGATCACCTCAACAAGGTCGTCGCGGTCGCCACGGCCGTTGCGGGTCTCTTTGTCCTTGCCATCGTGGGGCGGAGGATCGATGTGCGCATCAAGTGAGCTTCTTTCCCCCCTCCCTACCACCACCTCGTGTCCCTTGCGACGCACAGTGTATTTGCCTGCAGGTCAGGGCGGGAAGAGAGGAAGAAGAAGCTGAGAGCCAGGCGATAGAGGGCCGTCCCAGAGCATGGTTGCAGGGTGCGGTGGCATAGCGTGGCGAGACAGGGCATGCAACGCCCCGCCCAAAGCGGGCGTGTGGCTGTGTCCGCGCGAGGTCGGGTAGAGGCTGGCTGGCACGCTTCGCCCGACAACCCCCTCGGCTGTGCCTCGAGGTCGTCTAGGATTCGCAATGCAACCCAATGTCCTCCTCGCCTCTGCTATTGATCCATCGCCGCGGACCAGGCCAGGCCTAGGAGCCGAGCCGAGCCAACACTTCCCGAGTCTATGCAAACAGCCGACCCATCTGGTCCATGATCGGATCGCCGCCGTCGAGCTGGAAAAAGTCGAGGTCGGACTGCGTGGGTGCGTCCGCGTGTGTGGCGCATGCAGATAAGGGGTGAAAAGCGGTCAGGCTTGCGTCCACTTGGCCGTGCGATACCTGACCGGAACACCGATGCCGATCGACTCACCATCATCCAGGACCAGTGCTTGTCGAGCGCGTTGGACTCCTGCGCCGTGTGGCCAATCGAGCCCGTCGTCGACGAGCCGGGCGTGGTGGCCGCGTTGCCCTGCGCCGACGAGCCTGGCGCCGTCGTAGCCGCCTGCATCGGCGGCGCTCCAAACGGCGGCGGCGGGCCCACGGCATCAAACGCCGACTGGCCGATGGGCAGGCCGGCCTGCTGCGACGACGACGAGGCCGACGACGACGTCGACGGTCCAAACAGGCCCGGGTGGAAGTGCATGTTGTTGCTGTGCCGCTGCGAGGCCGTCGTGGCGCGCGCGTAGGCGGCCTGGCGCGACGACCGCGACGCCGCCGCCGCCGAGGCGCTCGTCGGGATGGCTCCAGGGTAGGCCTGCAGCATGTCGTCGTCAAGGACCATACCGCTGCCCTGCAGCGCGTCGAATGTGGCCGATGAGGCCTGCAGCAGCGGCGTGAAGCCCGTCCTCTCGTGCGACGGGAACTGGTCGAACCCATCTGCGGCCGACGTGTGCCGATCCGCATCCGCTCCAATCCCGGGATGACCGCCGGTAGAAGCGGTGGCGGCACCGGCGGTGGCGGCGGCAGCGGCCGAGGAGGACGATGACGACACGCCGCGCGGCACCGACGAGCCGTATCGGTCGCCGAGCCGCCTGCCCTCGGCGTGGCCCATGCGGTCCAGGACGCCGCCGAGGAACTCCGAGTACTTGGACGCCACCGTCCGCGATCGCAGCGTGGCGTTGCGGTTGGGCGACGCCTGTCCGATCTCCTGCAGCAGCGCCGACACCTTGCGCGCCTGGGCGTAGACGGAGCGGGGCCGGATAAAGGGCAGCTGCGAGGCGCGTCGGCAGAGGTCGAGCGCAAGGACGGCCGAGTAGACGGCCGACACGACCGACGAGTTGGTGATGTGGCGCATAAGCCCGCGCTGGCAGCGGTCCGCAAACACGCTCATGTAGCCTGTGGCGGCGATGTAGCAGTGCCGGTAGAGGTGTTCCATCTCGCCCGAGACGTCGACCGTGTAGCGGATGGGCAGCGGCAGCGAGTAGGTGACGAGCGCCGCGTAGTCGAGGTAGAGGGCGCCGATGATCTGGAGCGGCGTGGGCTTCTGCGCTTCTGCATCCCCTTCCGCTGCCTGCTCGCTGCCGCCACCGACGCCACTGCCATTGCCACTGCTCGGCGCGGCGACGTTCGAGGTCGAGGCGATCCCGCTGAGCCAGCGCTCCTCCCACCGCCTCAGGTCCATCTGTACCGAGTTGCGGAAAAACTCGAGCTGCAGGCCGAGATGCTGCGTCTCCTCGCTGCTGAGCTCCGCAAACGCCGGCGCGCTGTCCTTGTGCGACGGTCTGCCGCCACCTGCTTCCCCGCCGCTGCTGCTGCCGGCGCTGCCTGCGCCTGCACCCGCCTCTGCGTCGGATCGCATGGGTCCGAGGCGGGCGGTGAGGCTGCGGAGAATGTGGGTGTTGAAGTGGTCCGACTGGGTCGACATGATGCGCCGCAGCTCGACAAAGGCGACGAGCGCCTCGTCCTGGGGCAGCGCGTACGCCTGCCGGTGCCAGCTCGAGCACATGGCGATGACGCCATCCTCGCTGAGGTGGAAGCGCTGGCCAGTCTGCGACGAGAGCGTCTTTTCAAAGATCCACAGGTTGAGCCACAGCCGCTCCGTGTTGCGCAGCTGGCGCTGGTAGTGCTCCTGCTGGTGCGCCTTGGGCGTCGAGAGCGAGTAGCAGCACAGGTTGCACCCGAGCTCGGTGGCGATGCGGATCGCGTTGCCCAGGTACGCCCACGTCTGGTCAGACATGGCGCTGTCCGACATGGGCTGGTAGGCGGCCAGCACCAGGAAGCCCTGCGCCATCTCGACCGTCTTGTAGTCGCCGCACATGATGGCGGGCATCATGTCGTCGACGTGACGCCGCAGCGCCTTGGCCAGCTCCGGCGTCGCCTCGTCCTCTGCACCTCCACCGCCCGCCCCGGCTCCTGCTGCTGCTGCGTCGCCATCGCTGCCGCTGCCGCTGCCGTTGCTTGGCAGGCTGTACTCGGCCGCCGTGGCGCAGAGCACCGTCAGCAAAAAGGCCGAGTGCTTGCGGACGTACGCGATCGTCGAGAGGTGCGGGTCAAAGATGTGCATGAATGTCGAAAAGTCGGAGTAGAAGCGCTGGATGAGGCGCTCGGCCTGCTCGGCGCTGACAATGCCCTGGTCGATGGGGTCGAACTCCGGCCGGTTGTCGTAGACCGGGTGGAAGGCGCCGCGCG